TGGCCCAAAAATAAAGGGGTTTTTTTAAATTTGGGGTTTTGCGGCTCCGGGATCACAAAAAAAATTTAACAGAGTTCCCCCGGGGCCATCAGAACTAAAAACTGGTCTAATATTTTTCTTTTAAAAAACAAACTTTCTAGGTTTTAAAACATCCATTTTTTTTTCCCCCCTATCTCTCTAAAGGGAAAATGGTTGCTCATCTAGTCATGCTGAGCTTCCTGCTTTTGTGGTTTAGTTTGACAGTGTCTAGCTATGTGGCCTTTTTTTTCCACATGACCAACACGCTCTGGAATTATCAGTTGAGCGTGGTCCAAAACCTCTTCCCCTTACACGGCCTCGGCCTCTGCCTCGGCCCCTACCTCTGGACTGCTGATAAAACACAGTGTCCTCTTCCTCCTGATAAAACACAGTGGATTCTTTATTGTGATTCTTTTTACTTTTTATGACTTTCTCTGCATGCAGGGCGTGATTTATGTACTTTTGGAGTGTTGCACCACTCATCTCTATGTGGTGACGATTTACCCATTCTTGAATTATACATTCTTCCACATCCTTCTTTGGAGAGGGAATTCCTTCTACTGCTTTTCTAACATCTTCTTGTGTCCAGGTTCTGTATACCATTACTGTGGCTGGTTGTTGGGCATTCCCCTCAACCTGGCCTGCTAAGGGGTTTGGTAATTCTATTAAAGGAAGCGTGAGGACTGCTCCTTCACCTTCCAGGTTCACAGGCATCACTCGGGGTGTCCGTGGAGACAGAATGTCATTAAATGTTGTCGCTAAAGTTTTTGACCAATCCCCTACAGAACCTTTGGACCTAGTAATATATCCCTGGGAGGTATCAGCTTGTGGAGGGGCTATTTTCAATGGTGCTTCTACATGTTGTGGGGGAGTATATCGAGGAGGATCCCCCGTGGGTGAGAGAGCTGAGGGATCGGCTGCAGCGGCAGCACCTCCCATTGGTGGGAGATTATGTATTTGATGTATCAGGTTAGAATAGGGCCCTGCATACTCATCATCCTCCTTTCTATGAAACATAACTGATCTTTCCTTTTCCTTTTTTCTTTCTTCACTTTCCCTCTCTCCCTCTTCTCTCTGACCTGCCAATTTCATCCAGACCATGGTTTGCATGTAACCTTCTTTTGCCATCAAAGTGTCTTTATTTTTGCTCTTTGTTTTTATTTTTTGTTGCAAATCTTTTATGTTTGTGGTGCTCAATTTGCCATTAAAACCGTAGTTTTTTATCCAGTGACACAATGGCTCTAACGCTGATGGGTCATCATTTTCGACTGCTTTCCAATCTTTGCACTGGAGTTTCTCTAATAACTTCTGTTTTTCTTTACTGTGCCCTTTTCCCATTTTGAACTAAATTTGGGCCCAGTGGGTTTTTAACACCTGTCGTGTTCTAAACACTGGGGCTTCAGACAAGATGGTGATCAACTACTTTTTGTGGTAAAACTCACTTCAACCTTTACAGGTGGAGTTTTCTTGTCTACAAACATCCACAAAAGCTCACCATTTAACCCTTGTCTTTTTGGTATGAAATACAGATATCTAGTGATATCTATATTTCCTTTCACACACACACTCACACACACACACTGCGCAGTTAACTTTTACCTTATTTTAAACACAGAGGACGCCGCTATCCTATGCAGAATTTAACTAGTTTACAACTCGGGGAACCTGCCCTTACAAACTAGGGGAGCCTGCCCTCCCGCGGACTTTAACTGTTTTAAAATTTCTGTTTTACCTGATAGAGTCTAGAATTGTCAGGGTTTTAGTACAAAAGGGGGACCTCGTTACCCCACGCTGAGAGGACTTCAAAAGGGGAATCTCGTGACCCCACGCCCTTCACTTCTATCTTTTTTTTTATTTTTTTATATTATTATATTTTTATAATTTTTTTATATTTTTATATATTTTTCTTCCAATAATTCACTCACTCCTTATTAAAAGAAAAACTACTCACAATTCTCTGCGTCCTCGAAATGCTTCAACCGTCGGACCCCAGCTTGTTAGGGAGAGACCAGTCCTGTAAAGGGTCTGTTTGCTGCGGCCGCAGGCTTATCTGGGTCTCACTTACCTGCTGGGGGTCGTCGGGTATCTTGCAATCCGGCTCGAAGGACCAATTAATGTTAGGTTTAAACACCAAACATTTTATGCAGTAACCTGTACAAAGGAAAACACAGAGAATTTTAGTATGATTTACTTGCAAGGAGAGTGATCAGAGACTGTTCAGTTACAATTCTCCAAAACCACTCTGAAAAAGTCTCCGCTCTACCAAGCTTTTTATTAAGGAAATGCCCTGGCTACAATGTGGTTCCGACTGCTAAGGGGAGGGGGAAGGGTGAAGCCAGTCGGAACCAGAAGGGAGGGGTGAAACCCAGTCGGTACCAGAAGTTCTGCATCACATCATACAATATCATGAGATAAGAGCTTTCACTCCTTTCTCCGGTGTTAGTGAGTGCATTTCCCCGTGTTTTCTCCTTGCTGACCTTGAGCAGCCAGCACTCCATCTGCACACACTAATAACAAGCATTAGAAAGACAGCAAGTGAAACATTTCAACACTTTGTGTAATACAAGTATACAGGAATATGCAAATGTGTAAATATGAATGTATAAGTATAATATGATTAAAGTAGAATAACTTGTACAATTAATCCAACATATCTCAAGTCAGAAAAAATTAAAACAGTTTGCGGAATAACTCCCGACTTAACAAAAGAGTTTTGACTGGATGGAGCAAGTGTATTTTGAAAAGAAGAAGAGTCAAAAGGAAAGAGACAGTGTGAGATGCATGTGGGAATTCCAGTCCAATAAGGAAAGCTGGGCACCCTGGTGAGCTCAGATCATGGGAGCAAACCCTCCATACAGACATGTGAGAAACATCACACGGCAGACTGTTTGGTTCACAGGGACGGGCCCTTTGCTTGTCAGCAGGGTCTGAGCTGTGGGGGCGGTTCAACGGCCATGTGTGCACACTGTGTTACCCCTTCCATATGGGAATATTTACATGTCAGCTTTGTTGTTCAAAGATCAAAGCAGGAGATGCATTTGAGATAATTTTATGACACATCTTAACAAATTTTCAGGACACCCTGTTTCACAGCATGCAGGAGCTTCACATTAATGTTAACATTCATACAAACTCCCTCACAAAAAAGATTCATGACAAGAAAAAACGTTTCATCATCATCACCATCATCACATTCTTATCAAGTATAATATTCTAAACCCCCCAAAAATGATGTACAAGATTATCTACTGTACTGCTGCCCTACCTATAAAGAAAAAAATCTCTAAGATGTGGAAAAACATCTCTGATCAGTGGTTTAATAGATCAAGGTGACTGAAGGGCTTTAGGGTCAAAGATGTACGGTGCATTTATGATCCAGTCACACCCAGAGGCTGAATAAGTGGAGCCTCTTGCACAACCAGTAAGGATTCAATAAGGTTTACAGGGTCACCGGGAAGTGACAGGACTCCCTGAAATCCACATTATTGGATTTGTTTAACTTTTCTATTATCTCAAGAGTCTGCTAATTTATGCCATGATTTTCGCGATGATGAAACATTTGTTTTCTTGTCATGAATCTTTTTTGTGAGGGAGTTTGTATAAATATTAAAGTTAGTGTGAAGCTCCTGCATGCTCTGAAACATGGTGTCCTGAAAATTTGTTAAAATGTGTCATAAAATGACACATATAATCTGATTCTGTAAATTGGGCTGCTCAGTGGCGCAATGGGTGACACTGCTGCCTTGCAGCAAGAGGGTTCCGGGTTTTTCTGCATGGAATTTGCATGTTCTCCCTGTGCATGCACAGGTTCTCTCTGGGTACTCCGTCTTCCTCCCACAGTGCAAAAACATGACTGTTAGGTTAATTAGCTTCTCTAAATTCTCCTTAGGTGTGAGTGGTTGTTTGTCTCTGTGTTGCCATGTGATGGACTGGCGACCTGTCCAGGATGTGTCTCGCCTCTCGCCTGTAGAGAGCTGGAGATAGGTACCAGCTGCAATTGGAATAAGCATGCCGGAAAATGGATGGAAGGATTCTGTAAATTGGGCATGTTTTGATTGTTTTGAATCTGACAAAATATAAGATGCTGATAGTTCTTCCTATGGGTTTTTCAATACAAATTTTGATTATGCTAACTGCTAGTTGTTTGGGTTTTTCTCTTTACATCTGTAGCTTAGTGTAAGTGAAAAATATTCACATTTCTAGCATGCAATAATGGCAATTTTATTCCGATAATAATTGTAACTTTTATGCATACTTTGCTATAAAGTAAAATGTTTTTATTTTACAGTTTTTTCTTCTAAGGGAGGGTTTGGGCTTGTCTGGAGTCACTAGACAGTGGCTGCTGATTTTGACCTCATAATCTGGAGGTTCTTGAAATAGCTCATTTTCCAGACACCAACAAAACAAAGAAGCATCTGGATGTTTTTAGTGTTCGGACTGATTCTTGAAGCAGTAGAACCCAAATTGAAATACAAAGACCTACAAAAAGTGAATGTTGCATGTTTCTTCTTGAGTTAATATCTCTTTCCCTTTAACTTGTGCTGTCACCAGTTCACTCTGCTGAAAAAAACAGCTGTTTCCCTCTAATCCAAATTGTTCGCATCCTGGAAGTTGATATGTGCAAGTTATGTCTACACTGTGGAATATAGAGGTTATGAATAAGGACTGTTGGAATGTATATATGATGTTTTTATACAAAGTTATAGATAGCATTTAACAGTTTTTCTTTTTAACACCAGCCGGCGCAAAGTCTACAGGTGGAAATCAATACTCCAACCTGGTTTATCTCTTGCTGATATTGTTGCCGTTTACATAAATTAACTAAACTACCTCACATTAAATATTTAACATACCACACTAGTTAGGGCTACATATGTCCCTAATTTTTGATTATTTATAACCAACAACTAGTAATGCTTATGCAAGTGAGCAGAAAACCATTAAGTGCGTGGAGAAAAAATAAAGACATGGAGGAACAAGACTATTTTGCACATTGTTTCATTCTTTTTTATTTTACAAAAAGATGAGGGTAGGGCTACAAATCCTGATAATTTATACAAATACACATTTAAAAAATAAATTTTAATTTAGTAAACTCTCTGTGAACAAGTTTCTGCAATAGCCAACTGCTTGAGATCCCTGAGCAGAGACACAGAGAAACACTTCTTTTTACACCTTCTTAAAGACATAAAAAAAACGTGCGTTTCTTCATCAACACTTTAAATATTTACATCAGGAATGAGTTTGTGTTTGCTTGTGTGTGAGTGGCAACAAATCAAAGTGAACTCTTAACATTTCTTTATCTCCTTTATAGTAAAACAGCACCGGGAGACAACTAATGAACTGCTTTGAATCAGAATCTCGCTGTCCTGAAGAGGATGTTCAGTGCAGAGCTAAGTCAGGTAAATCAACGGTATCTATATATTTTAAGTAACCATTTAAAACATACAGAACTTCCATGAACTCCTTTTCCTTCATTTTACATGTGAAATAAAAAAAAAGGCAAGACTAATAAAGACCAACATATGTCTGGTGAAATTAAACAAACAAAAAAAAGGTAATCAGTTACTTCATGATTTTGCCACAGTCATTTTTCATTTCAGGCCAGGTTTGCCAGCTGGTTTTCATATTACAAGTGATTTTATCGTTTATACTGTTTTGTCCCTTCATATTTTATTTCGGTCAAACTCCATTTTTCAGATATCAAAGTTTGTTTGGTTCTGAAACATTTAAGTGACAAATGCAGCCAAAACCGCAGAAATCTGTAAAGGAAGTAAATACTTTTTTTTTCTAAGAACTGCATAAGATAAAAAATTCAGTAGCCTTAAGGTGCAGTAAAATAAAACACAAGCGTCTTTCTTCTCTGTTTTATTCATATAATACGCTGATAATTCTATTTGTGAAATAGTTACATAAGATTTAAATTTTGCTTGGAACATATATCATTTAGTGAAAAGTGATTCAGCTGCTATTTGGGGATATATGAGTTAAGTGTGCATCTCCCAGTCGGCGCTATGTCACACAGACTGGAAGCTGCAGCCCCTGGTACAGTGATCACCATTACAAAATGTGATTTGTTGTTGGGAAAGCACTGCACATACTATAGGTTTGTAATCTATAACTGTGAGAATAGGCAGTGATATTTAAAAAACGCCACAAAACCTGGTGCTACACCACAGCAAGGGTCCAGCTGGAAGTCCCAGAAAAGACAAAACAGGTTTCTTAGAACTACAGTAAAGGGAACAGAGCAACAACCAAGAAGTGTTAAAACGAAGACACATCTAAATATGTATGACTTGGGCCAAGAAATAACCACAAATACTGTACAAGAAATGAAGGTGCTCGGTCATTTACTAAAGACTGACAATAAAGAGAAGGAAAAGAAAAGTAGACAAAATTTATACATATGAGAGCTAAGGGCAGCTGCAAGTAGACTGAAACCCCACAAACTACTGTAACAAGCAATGAATTCTCAAATCATGGAGCTACAGTTTGATGTGTTGTTCTGTAAATTAAAAACCTAGTTGCTATATATTAGACTTTATTAAAACAAACAAAATGAAGGAACTTTATTTTAACACAAAGGCATTTAAATGTTTCTCTTTGAATGAGCTGTGACTGTGCGTTGGTCCATGTAACGAAGAAAGTTGGACATTAGCTTAACATTTATATTTGGCTGAATGAACTCTGTTTTAGGTCCTGTAGCACTTCATGGCAACTGGGAAGGCAGTCCACCAGCAACCTGAAGCTCTAAGCTTTTTGTTTGAAAGTAGTTTAATATAAGCTTCTAAGCAAGTTGCTGCTGTGGTTTATCAGAATGTGAAGAGTGGCAAAAAGTTAAGTAAATTGCAGGTGCATTAATGAAATAATTAATCCTTAAAGTCATCAGATAATCTACTTCCCCTCCTTTACTTGCCAAAATTGGCAAATTATAGCCTTTTCGATGCTTTCGAGACTCTAATTGTGCTTTAATACTTACATTGTTTTCCCTTTTTATGCTTTTCTTTAAACATCAGGACAGCTGCTACATTTGAAAAACAATACTGAGTTAAAAAATAAAAAAGCAAATTTGAGGATTTTAATGAAAAGGTTAAAGTGGTAATAATATAGCTTCAAGGTACACATTTTAAGAAGTTAAACTATGTCCTGTTCTTCATTTGACAGTACCGTCTTTTCTTCATTTTCAAGTAAAAGCATGTATTGAAACTAAAATCTGACAGATACTCCCTCAGCACTCCTCTCAGTCTTTGTTGTAGCTCAAACTGCTGGAGTGATGAACTTGTGGCCTCTCTTCAAGTGTTCTTATATAAAAAAATTTAAGGATTCCGTGAGGACAGTAAATCTGCAGAAAGGCATCCAAATACCACATAGCGCCTTCCAAACTGTAAGCAATACTGTGAAAAGCTGCAGGCCTGAGATGTTTGCAGAGCTCAAAGGTGATTAGGGAGGCTGTGCAGCACAGTTGCTTCATCTCTGCAAATATCCTCCATCTCTGTCTTCTCTCCTGAATGAGAAAACACAATGAGGGCACGTAGGCCGTCGTCCTTTCTGGGTCTGGTGCGCAGATGGCATGTAGGCGGCTTGGGAGATCTCAGGGGCTTGTGGTCCTCAGGCCCTGCTTCTCCATGATGTTCCAAAGCTTACGCAGATTCGACTGGGTGATGGTGTCATCTGGTTTTAGCTGAAGAGCCCGGAGATAATTGGCTTCAGCTTCTTGCAGTTTACCGTTGAGGTGGAGGATTGCTCCAAGGTTCATCAAAGCTGCAGGGTACTAAAGGAAACAGAAAACCTAATTTCAGAGCACAATCATCTCCAGTCATCTCCAGATGTCATCAGGACAGCTTGGAGCTTTGTGAAGTTTTACCTCATCTTTAGCAAACTTTACATCTTAGGCATTATCAGCTCATATGGATTCTCAGAGTTCTGGTTATGTTCTCCATGTGTTTTTCATATCCCTATAGGCCAAGCATGGCTATGAAACAGATTTTTTGTGTGTGTACTTGTCTTAACAATGGTGTGGGGACTTCAGTCTGTTTACAATGTTACATGATGGGGACCTATGTCTTAATGGGAACCAAAATCCTGGTCTGTTCTTTGAGTTGGGGTTAGGTGCAGAGTTAAGGTTAGGGATATGTTGGTAATAGTTAGGTACAGGGTCTGGATTAGGCCATATAAAATTAATGTAAGTCAATGAAATGGCCCCATAAGTCATGAAAACACTGTGGGTGTGTGTGGGGGTGTTTTTCTCTAACAAAACAGTTTGGTATGGCAAATCTAACAAAACCCTAAGGGAGAAAGTGTTTTGGTCTTATGGAACTACCTTCAAACAGACACAGAACTGGACATCTTAAAAACACCTCCACGCCCACAGCAAAACATGGCGGTGACAACATTATGAAGGGGGTTATAGTGGGGTTTCTATCACTTGGAAGTAAATGAAGGGTGGTTCAATAGAGCTCCTTCTGAGTTGGTCTTCTTTTACCAGTTTCTGTCCCATTCCAAGCTTAATAGAGATTTATTTTCTTAGCAGAATAGGAAGTTTAATCATACACTAAGATCATCAAAAGGAGGATCTAACTGAGTAAGCTGACTAAGTAAGAGTCCAGAACCAAATTAGCCAGAACCTCTGTGAGGTCACCTTAATAGATATGTGAATGGGATACACTATATGTCCTCATAATTTGAAGACTTTGAGGAATTCTAAGGCAGGGTGGGCAAGCATGACCGAGATTATAAATGAGTTAGTACTGCCAGTCAATCTGATTTTGAAATCTAGAGATCTATAACTATTCTCCTCAAGAGCTGCAATACAAACAAATACAAGCTGTAAGCACAACAATGGAGCTTCCCGAGAAACATCAAAAAAGAGCTACAACACAAAATATGATGTGTTGAGACTGGAGACATAATGTGATTTAATTCACACATCAACGGCTATTAAACAATGCACATGGTTTGTTCACACTGAATATTTGTGCAAGAGATAATGTATGGTTCAAAGTCTTGTCAATGAGTGAAGACTTGCAGGGATCACAACCTCCAAAAAGAAAAATGTCGTAGTATTTCCTCCGAGTCATCTTAGCTTTTGTTACAAAGATTTCTTCCCTGTTGATGATTACAAACGTTACATGATATGCTCTTTAACGGTAATAGAACGCTGAGTCATCAGATCAGAGCCCAAATGATACTGGTCCCTTTTGTCAGATTGCCCAAACTCTGGTTAGAGTTTGGTAAGTAAGTCTCTGCCTGTCCCTCCGTCTGGTCTGTGGCTATAGATGTCAAAGGGAGCAGCCAGCTCTTTGAAGTGGCTCTAGATGTTTATTCCTGCTGGTGCCAATGGGCAAAGTCATAATTAGTGTGACGGATGAGTCATGAGGATGTAAGTACAGGAAAGTGCCTCTGGTGTAATCATGTCAAGACCAAGAAGTATGCAGGCCAAGGGAGGGGCAACATCTGATCACTATTTTGGTTAGAGATGAGGAAAAAATGCCTCATCCATGAAAGAACTCCTGGTCTACTGCAGAGCTTACTGTAATTTCTGAAATTATATTCTGTAGAGAAAAATAATTAAATTGCTGCTTTTTGAAAAATTGGAAGTGGATTGCTGTGTAGTTTTTAATTAAAAATCTCCTGCCTCCCGAGGTAATATATTGACCTGAAAAACTGCTTCCCCATAAATGCTGACATTAGGTGCCTTATAAATATTCATTGGCTTTGAATTTATTTAACGGCTTGCCTAATTGTAAAAACAAAACATGCAAAGAATTCTATTGCTATTGATGATGCAGAGACCTGCAATAACAGCAGAGAATAGATGTGAAGTGTTTGGTAAGTAAAAGTCCAACATGAATAATCAACATGGACTCTACACTAAAACTGAAAAAACTGTAATTTTTACCCCAGAACGTCTCTTAATAAATGCACTTTTATTTAGGGAATCAGGGAGACAACTGTGGAACAGTTTAAAGCAGGGTCTGGTTCTAAAACAATACCCTTAACTTTGCACTTTTCTTAAACCTTTTCTTCAATCTATCATCTGAGAAATTGAGAGGAGTTGGACCACCAAGACATGGAGGTTGTGTTTGGAAAAATCTATTTCCCATCATTAATTTCAAGTATTAGAATATTGATTTCCTATATCAATGTACACCTGAACTGACAAGCCAGACAAAGAGAATGTGAATCAGAGAAGAAGAAAAAAAGGTCCATGGTCAATCGCGATGGTCGAAGAAATCCACATCTCGGGTCAAACAAAACAAACACTATATGCATCAGCCTGAACACACCATGCTCAGGACAGGACATGGTGGTAGCAGCCTCATGCTGAGAGAATGGTTCTCTTCAGCAGGAAAATGGTTAGTAAGAGGAATATTGCACACATAACCCAAAAACATAAATAAATAGGCTTATGAAAAGATTTCAGGAGTTTCATTACTTTAAGAAAGTTCTTTCAGAATGTAATGCTATATATAGAATGAACAGGAATTTTTGCAGTTGGAGTTATATGACATTTTCACTCCGAAAGTGTGCAAATACTAAGTTAAGACTGAGAAATGGGATGACTTGATGATTGAAAAAATAAATGGCAAAACCATCATCTGCTTTTCTACGGCAGAATAACACTGATGGATAAAGTAAAAACAGAAAGACAAATGTTGCCATTTAAATGTTTGGCTGACATCACTAAATGCCTTTTTGAATTTCCGACTTTGGCTGCCAAGCCTGCTTTCCTTCATGTTGCAGAGGAAGCCGCAGTTTTGGATTTAATGGCCCTGGTAATTCTTAGAGTGTTCGTACAATAAATAACCTTAAGTGTGACCTGAATGGCTTTAGGGGTAAACCACAAAATAATACATGGACATGAATTTATACACATAGTAGTAATAATAGTATCACAAACACTGCATCTTTAGGTAAAAGGCAGATGTGTAATGAGAAATTTTACCATTGGTAAGAATTTTTTTAAAAACTCAAAAAGTAATCGTATTTTATTCTGAATTTGCACGGTTACGGGGTTCAAAATGACACAATATTCATATCCCAAGGGTTTATTTGGGAGCGCAAATTTCAGACTGGACAACATATTACAGTAGTGACCCTTGACTCAGGAGGGTATGGGTACTGTGGCTTTTGGAAAGGAGGGAAAGTCCTAATTAAAGGCTACAAAGTTTTTGTTTGAAGTCAATTATATTGTTTTAATTTCTTTCTATGTTTTTAAAGATTTTAGTCTAGGCTCAGAAAATTTCAGAGGAACTTCAGGTAAATATGAGCCCTGGACATATAGACAAAAACATATATATATATATATATATATATATATATATATATATATATATATATATATATATATATATATATATATATATATATATATATATATATATACACACACACACATTGTATGAAGCAAAGACTATTTGAAGTGAGATTTGATCTTAATGATTTTAGAAAGAATTTGAAGTGCTGAACACATGGGAGGTAACCAACTGGCTCTGACAGAGATTCAAACCAGAGTTGTCTGATGCAGAAAGACCCAAATACCTTGAATAAAGGGAATAGCCATCTCTCTGTCAGGCAGTACACACACAGATTATCCAATTATTATACTTAAGAGAAGCAACCTAACCGTGTTGCTACTCCAACCAGGGGTACTCATACCTCTAGTGGTCCGCGAGTGCATTGCAAGGGGGTACATGGAAATATTTGATTTCTTAGGTAGTAAAATAATATAGGGCAGGTGTATTTTTTGTCAGGACCCATTTGAAAAATTAAACAAGCTTTCATCAACCAAAAATTATGTTTTTCTTTTGAGTTTGCCTTGAGCTTTGAGACATATCAAAACCAAGCAGAGCCTGGTATCAGCTGTTTCTCACGCTAGTATATCGGAGTTCGTCAAAGCAGCTCAGGTGTCTTGATGATGTCAAAGTAAAACCTATTAATTCGTCTGACAATAATTTTTGTTCTGTATTTTGTTCCCAATTCATCATATTTGATTAGATTACATTGTTGGGCTGATAGCTCTCTTTGCCACTTGGAGAATTTAAATCAACTCAATGAAAATGCTGGTGACAGAGGATAACTTTAAGCTAAAACCTTTTAAAAGTTAACATTGATACTAGGTCTCCACCTGATTATTTGAAGTACAAAGCTCTCTGATTTTGAGCTTGTTTTGGGTCATTTCTAAATTACTACAAGACCTGGAAGAGCACAATGCCATCCTGTTGCTTGAATGGAAGCCAGTCAAAAATGTAAAAAGTTAGCTCCAGTCTTAGCTAACTTTCTGCTTTAACTTATGTAACTTTAGAAAAGAAAGTGATCTTATATGGCTATGAAAACAATAATAGAACAGGTCAAGTCTCTTCCACACTATAAGCAGTTAATTTTCCCCCATGCTTTGAACCATGCAGCTGTTGTGCCATATGCCATGATCATACTTTTTGGACATTGGGAAGCAGTGTCCATATTTCATCCTGATAGGATGACCAGAGAAGAAAACGCAGCTTTGGTGAATAACAGCTGGGGGACTTCAGCAGCCCCCCTTTTTCAGCCAGCAAGTCACATGGAAGTCACAGAGGTGTGAAAACCTACCCCCCTCTGTGAGGACAGAACAAAACCACAGAGCACACAGGATTCTTCCTCTTTTGCTCTTCACTTTTTCTCCCTCGTCTGATCCAGCCTGCTTCTGCTTCTGCTCCTGCGCTCAAAGCTGGGGCCCACTGTGGCCCACAGTGGAGATGCAGGCCCCAGGGAAACCAGATCCCCAGAACCATCAAGGATGAGTCAGAACTCTTCAGAACCTAACTGCTGCAAACAGAACCTTTGCAACACATTTCTCTTGAGTTTCAGAACTTACAGAGCCAAACTGGATGAAGACCATGCCCTGGTGTGAGACTGAGGGGACCCCTGCTGTGAGACTGAGACAAAGAATCCCTGACTGCAGAGCTGCAAAACTGGATGAAACTCAAGCTTTCCAAACGGACATGGAAAAAGGTTTGCAGGTCTGGCATGATTAGGGACAGAACAAGCAATGTGTGTTTTGATGATGCTAATCATATCGTGTGTTTACTGCTGAGTAAAGACAACGCTAGTTGATGCTAAAGAATGGACTGCATGCTACGCTATGCTACAGGAATATGTGTTGAGCTGTTGCTAAAGCTTAGACAAGCTTTATTCACTAAGGATTTAAACACTGATGTAACATTAGTGTTCATGTGTTCCTCAGATGCTCGTTACATTTCCATTACCAAGTCTGACCAAGAGTCATTTAGTGGAATCCTGATGTCTATTCGCTGCTAGCTATTTCAAAGAGGGTAAAGAATCATTTAACTAAAGGTTTTTGGTTCTTGATTAAGCAAATCATTCAATAAGACATTATTTGGCCAAATAATGTTTTATTCACCTCATGATTTGCATTGTGAATTGGTCTGAAAACATTCCAATTTCTTTAAAATTAGTGAAAAGCTAATTTGATCATATCCCAAATTCTTCCAGATAAACTTTGGTTTCAAACACAGAATCCATCTTAAACTGTAATATGTTTTTCAACCGTTTTCCCCTTCCTCTTTGTACATAGTAGTTAGTTTAGTTTAGTTGAGTTTTACTAGTCTTAGTTGAGAATGTTAAACTGAAATACGTTTGACGTGGAGCTGAATGAATTTTGTTAATAAAATCTTATATTTTGAACAGAAGTTGTGGTGAATTTATTCCATGTATGTGCAGAAATAACTGTTTGACCATGATTAGTGCTCGAATCACTCTTTCATCTATTGTTCTAACACACAGTTAGTAGGACTGTGTGTCATAAACAGTATATAACAGCTGAAATAATATCTGATTAAATAAGATATTTTACCACCCCTACAGGGGAGGGCAATAAACATCTTAAAGTATCAGAAACATAAATTCCCAGCGGGCTGGGAATAGAATTTAACTATAGAATCACAACACAGCTTATACAAAGATGCGGCTTTTCTGTGGATTTTTCCTAGCAGCCAGAGTGCGAAAGGTCAAAGTTGGAAATCAAATGAAGTGAGGTGCCCTCTATATGGTAATCCAACATTAATTAAGCAGAACTATTCACAATATAATCGTCACAGTACCTTGCTGCAGGACAAATAATCCCTTTATATTGTACTTATATTACAGCAATGTGTAATGCAGATGGCTTACTTGAAAAAGGAGATAAAACCGTCCAAGTTAAAAGTTGTCTTAATATTTTCGGGTAGAAATCACAGAATTTATTTCATCATTCATCTCAGAGTGTAGTGAATACTGCTGTTTGCTCATCAATATCAGGTGTCGCATTCATCAATACTTGTAGGTCTGAGTGTGGATACATGGCCGTTTTTGTCATGAAACCTGATGGGTTCACCCTGCCTCTAGTCCAATAACCTCTGGACTTAGGTTGCGCTCCCACAGTCTATAGATTTTACTGTTTAAAAATCTGTTTTCACTCTTTTTTTTCTACCTTACATCTTCAACAAGACTGAGACCAGAGGAGGCAGTAGCATATCCACATGTTGTTTTCATATTGCTGTTTTTTTTTTCAGTTTGAAAGAAAAAGTGTTGCTGAACTGAAATATTCCTGAACTCATGCAGAGAATTTCACAACAGCACCATGTCTGTTTTTAATATGATGCCCCCTGAAGGTACGTATATTACAGATATTCATTGTATTCCTCTGCTCTAGCCTGTCGCATGAGGGGAATTCTCTCTAAATATGTTACGTCAAAGAGGAAACCTCCATGTTCTTTGAAGCTTGACAGTATAACAAACAGTAATGGTTATTTGTTGACATATGTCAGTGTTTGTAAAACCTTCTAAATCTTTATTTTTATAAATTGCCCATTTTTTTTATTTATGATTGCATTCAGTTAAGTAAAACAAACTAACTCGTTATACATTAGGATTGGAAATGTTTTTTTTGTAATGTACAGCTTTAATTAATTTTCAGTTTAACAAATTTTGAAACCTTGCTTATCATCATTATAAATGATATAAGCAGTTCTGGAAGGATCTGTAGATGGGATTTGTAATGATAAAAATATACCATTTTCCAGCATTGATAAATGCCTTTGAGAGGCTGCAGGATTGGATATGTTTTCTCTCTGGGTTTCATTAAATGTATGAAACATAGGGAAACACAAAAAAATCTGAACAAACTGATCCTGAGCTGAACTCCGTGACTTGGGGAAGTTTTCCTGGTTGTGTTTGACAGTGTTTGTGAATATTTTACCAGGGTTGTATGCACACAAGGCCAAACCATGTTTCCTGCAAAACATTGTAAAGATGTATTTGATCATTAATCCACAGCTGCCCGTTTTCAATCAGGGCATAGGAACAAACAGGATGACCACACACTAAACATACGTCCCCTGTCTGCAGGGCCCTCACTTAAACAACTTGACCCATCCTGTCAGAGCTCCTAAAGACTGAGCCCATTCATTCTCAGGATGCCACAGTCCCCTGGCTGAGTGTTATTATCATCATTCTTTCCAATCTGCTTACTCTGGCCTCTCCTTTGAACTTGTTGATGGATGTTGCAAAAGCAAACCTCTTAGCTCAGGAAAAACCAAACACTCATTAATCTGAGAGGCACTGACAATGAATCGCGTTGTTAAAGGCAGGGCAGCCAGTAATGATATTGGAAAGCCAGTCTGACTGTAATTGCAGAGCGTCCATCAAAGTAAATAGTAATGAGGAAGAATAGCGAGTCAAGGTTTTACTTACGTTGGGTCTAAGACTTGCTGCTTGTCCGTAATACTTCTCGGCTGCCTCATTGAGTTTGGCTTGTCTGAAAAGGGAAAAGAGGGAGAGGTGATCGTTTGTCATTTTTATTGCTGCTGGCTCTGGATGAGGCCTTGAACCCTCAGTGTTTACTGGTTCCCAGAGGTCAGGGAGAAAATAACATTGAGGAAAAGCATTAGGAAGCCTCATCCAATGGTTTGTGGGTTTTTCATCGGTTGGCAACATTTAGGTGATCTTTTGAGTCCAAAAGGACTTTCTGGTCTAATTAAATCTCAAATATCCCAAATGTGTTTTAAAATAAAAATCTGATTAAAGTATTAGAGTTTGAGGGTTATAACACTAATGAGTTCAGGTCCTACCTAAAATATTTACATCTTGTTGATTTAGGATCTTTGAATTGCTGTTTATTAAAAAATTAAACCACAGTTGAATCTCAAAAAAATCTAACCTAATCTAACCAAAAAGTAATTTATTTCAGCAATTTACTTAAGGAAGAAACCCTTGTTGTATAGTAATATGCACAAATTGAGCTTTATTTCAGAGATCACATCTCTCCTATCCTAGCTTCTCTTCACTGGCCTTTTGTTAAATCCAGAATAGAATTAAAAATTCTCACATATAAAGCCCTAAATGGCCAAGCTCCGTTTTATATCAGAGATATAATTGTTCCTTATGTTCCTACCAGAGCAATTCACTCTTAATCTGCAGGTTTACTAGTGGCTCCTGAGAACTGCTACCTTTTCGGGACTCGGAAGTCCTTGTTAAGCGTCCAGGATCTGATAAGAATCCTTTGTTAATGCTCTTACACTTGTATTCTATAAATATTAGGCTCTGTGTGAAATTTATTCATGGCTGTCACTTATGAAATAAAAATATTTATCTATTTTTTTCAAGAATTAAAAAATTTTTGCACTAATTGTCTGAATCAATTATATGCAGTGTGTATTTGCATTTAGTCAGTTTTAAAGATTGTCATTTGATATTTTGAAGCATATTTAAAAGCAAGGGGGAAAAAAAGATGATTACTGTAAAATAATTATAATGAATAATGACCTGGATAAAAAGAAAACACTCTATTGAAATGAGACTGACAGAGATTTTTGCAGGAGAACTTGATAGAATTATTGCCTAAGGAAAAAAAAACACCTTCCAGCTGAAAAGCAAGCAGCAGTTGAGCCATAAATGTAGTAATCATATTTGTTGTCTTTCTTTAAGGTCTCTGCTCCTCTCCGTTGTGTTAGATTAAAATAACTGGAGGTCCGTCAACACCAATGGTTCCTGTTTCTTTGTTAATGCTCTGTTCTCTCCAAAATGATCCACAGCTGCAGGCTTTTCCCTAATGACAATAATCATCTAATTGCAAATAATTTACCTTTGACAAAGTCAAGGACAGAGTCATGGATCAAAGGCTTCTGGACCCACAGTTTCATTTAGGATGTCAAAGTCTATTAGCTAATCATTGCATCAGACACCTAAACCAGTGTCCTCTAATAGCAGTGTCAACAAGATCAAACAGATGGACTGTCAAAAGATCTAAGGAGGTTGAAGATTTGACACTAAAAACAAGAATGTATAAATAAATTGTCAGCTCTTGCTTTCGATCTGTCTAGTCATATTTCATTTGATGTTTATTTTTTCTTTAAGCCTATGAGGAACCCATTAAATGTGATAAAACAATCAGCTGATATTGGTGAGTCCTTCTGACTGAAACATTAACACAGTATTACTCACTCTTTAGTTCTTATGTTTTTTTTTTTTTAATCTTTTGTCAGTTTCTGTGCTCACTCAATAGAAAAAGCCAATGTTGTTTTTTTTAACTCTAGAAAGTAATAAGTCTTTTTTGAACAGCAGTAATAAAGACATGCTTACCAGTTGTGGTTGCTTTGTCAAGCTACATTTCAACATGCTGCTATAATTGTGCTTTGGTGCTCGCTATGTCCATAAAATGAACTAGGCTTTCCAACGATGTCTAACATGTCTATGTTGGTTGTCCCCATTGACAGAATTTCCGCACCATGCACCTAGGAAAATTTGCAACAACAGAGGAAGCTCTGCACAAACAGAAAATGGTGCAGGAGCAATAGCTCCTACCAGCGAGGGTTTTATAAATATAAACTTCTAAAGAAAAACTACAGTCACAATTTTAGTTGAAGAGAATTGCAATTTAGATTTTTGGCAAAAACATTTTGCCCTAATATTCCTGTTATGAGCATGCACTAAAGCCTGCCGATAACAGCTTAAACAAACTCTTTGTTTGGAACCAAATTGGTCAAAAACCCAAGTGAGCAATAAATGGCATGACCATATTTGTAAGCTTTTGTGTCTCATTGTCTCTTCCCTTCTCTTATCTAGATTCTGTCCCCATCTAAAGATCTTTCCATGTCCTTGTCCAAAAAAAACCCATAAAGAGCATAAGCTGCAGAGGAGCAGGACCCCAAGAGAGGAACTTAACCCAACCGGTGCCTGAGAAGATGCTTTTACTACCAGGGGCAGAAGGTCTTTAGACTGCCATCTTTCAGAGGTGTAGCTCTTAAAGCAGCAAAAAGATAACTAACAACATTTTTAACAATGGTCTTTGTGCTGATTAATGTTTCATTAAACCAAAGTGGTAACAAATAGAGAGCAAGCACATTTCTTTAGAGTATTTATTATTTTCCAATTATGACTAATTTTCACCAACCCTATCACTCACCATGATGAGTTAAAGCATCATTCCTAGATTCTACTCCTGTTCAGAGAGAGAGGGATCACAAAGTCCTGCCAAGAAAATCACCCAGGCTGAGGAATGGAGTAAGCCCATGGATAAACCGTGCAGACAGTAGAGTTTGCTCTCTCATGCACACACTCCTTTCAGCCCCGCCAAGGAAAACCATTCATCTACTCAAAATGAAATACCATGCAACATCTGTGCGTGTGCACATAGACTAGGGAAATCAAAGGTAAGAAAGAAAAAGGTCTGTACTGGGGCACTTACCTGAGTATGTGAGCGGCACTGAAGACCACATCAAATTCCCCACTGTCGAGGCGCGCAGCCGTCTTTGCCATCTCTGCTGCTTCCAACAGCCGTGACTCTTCCAATAAAAATTGACCTACGAGTGTAAGAGAAAACAGCAGCCCTGTAAAAACATGAACAAATCCCCACAAAGGGATCCACAATGTAATAATATCGACATTGGCACTGGTGCAGGGAAACCAGGCCTGCTCCTGTAAAAATATGCTTTAACACTAGATATGAATTTTACAAACTATCCCTCTTTGGTCATTTCTCGGAGCTGTTAGATCAGATTAGTCGACCTTGATAGATCAGCATCTGATTGTGAAAATACTTCTCGGAAGAAATTTTTCTTTTAAATGTGCGCCTGACTTGCAGTGGACCTCTGTGGATGAAGCTAATAACATGGAATTATGGAGGCCTGATAAGGCCACAATTTAGGGGTAATAAGGTACAAAACAAAGGTGTTATCACCATGTTGATTTTTGTAAACCCTATCACTTTGGACTAGTCAACCCCCCACTGCATTTAATTAGATAATCTTGAAAAAGTAACGAAGACTATAGCCTATTATAAAGGTCTACGGTGAGGGAAAGACTAATCAGGATTCTTCTCTCATTTCTGACCTTAAAAGCAATAGAGGATTTGGATAAAAAAGAAACAAAAAAACAACAAAAACATGTCTTGAAACTCCCAATGAATTGGAGCACACTTTGCCAGACATTAACCCCTGCCACCAAAGCTTAAAGGGAAACGCTGTTTTTTTTTACATTGGCCCCTTGATTTTACATTATTACATCCTGTTCTACTCACCCATATGAGTTTGTTTCGAAGATATTCGGTTTTGTAATATATAAACATAAAAAATATAACCTTAGATTTCTGGGGGACAGGGATTCTCAATGATTCCTAACCCTGACAAACATAAGTTTAAGGTCAGCTAAATCAACATTGGGTGATTTTTGACACAAGTAATACCTTAGTTTGAAAAATATTAGTGGATTTTTCAGGTCAATATACAACACTGAGTATATACTGATGCTCCATGCAGGCTAGCCTTTTCCAAACTCCCCTATGTTACTAAAGATGGTCAGGTAATGCGTAGAAGAGCTTCCGACTTCAAAGTCCTGGAGCTTATTACTAAAAATCAAAAAACACTAAAGGAAACATGTAAGAATTCAGTCAGTAAAGTCTAACTCTGTTAGATTTCATTAGTTTTATTCAGATAGCTTAAGCTGTTTTTTTTTTCATTTATATTTATCTGTAATATAAAATTTAATTCAAAATAGTAATGTTTTGATTGAGAGCAATGACAGTAAGCTGACATCTTTAATAGCTTTTGAAGGAAAAAAAATATGAAAAATTAAACTGTTAACATTTCAGAAACCTTGCTCTGTTTTAGCAGGATAAGCATTTAAAAGGGATGCTGGAATCGTCACGTTCCATTTTCACCTCAAACTGGAGTGAACAATCAGAGGAAATCCTTGTATGTGCTAATAAAGCTCTTCTAAGCATGTCCTGAGGGAGACTATTGGTGTTTAGAGGAAGATGTGACAAAAACTCCACCAACACTGCTGCTGAGCAAGCGTCCAAAACCTGTAAATTCCTGCCTTTGTGCACAAATGTGGAATAAAGTATGCCTTAAACTGCCAAATCAAATAACTGAGTGAGAATAAAGTTGGGATGTGTCAATTTGGAAGAAAAACACAAATCTCACCATAATGCATGTAACAGTTGCCCTTTGTGGGATCCAGTTGGATGGCCTTCAGGAAGTACCTCTCTGCTTCTGTTTTCTGCCCCTGAGAGAAAAGGATTAAAAATGGTCTCATTATTTCTTCAACCACTTCTAGAAAAACACACCAAGGTCTGCAAAAGAGCTACAATTCCTCTGCATAAACCTAATGCCCCCCCCAACCACATACCTCCTTCAACAATAAATCCTAATAAACAGACATGAACAATATGAACCACAAGTGTTATTTTCTCATGCTCACGTATCATCCTTCAAAGGTGCACAGTTCTCTTCTTGGCAAAGCAAATCAGATCATGGCTCATTCATTACACACTTTAATCTGTGCACAAAAAAAAAAAAAACACTTCCAAAGCTGCACCGTCAAAGGCCAGTGTGTGTGGCCCGGCTGCTCTGAAACAAGGAAGCATGCCGTGTATGGAAACAGGGAAGTGCTGCAGGGAAGAAGAGAGTAAAGCCAGAGACGGGGGCAGATGTGCCTGTAGGCATTTGGAGACTAGCATTATTATTAGGATCACATTATCTGACTGTTTTATTCAATTGTGCTTCAGCCAACAATTAGGCAAACAGGTCTCTACCAGAAGTTCAGGGTAGGTCATTGACTACCGGCCTGTTACATTGACTACCATCATGATGAAGTACTTCGAAAGGCTGGTTAAAAACACATTGTCTCCAGTCTCCCCCAACATATGACCCGTTCCAGTTTGCCTACCGACAGAACCGCTCCCCTGGGGACGCCATTCCTCTGCTCTTCACCTGAGGCTAGCATGCTTGAAGGAGAAGGACACCCATGCTGTTCCTGGACTTTAATTCAGCTTTCAGCACCATCATCCCACAGTATCCGATAGGTAAACTGGAACAACTGGGCTTCAATACACCCCTCTGCAATCTCTGCATCATCCTAAGCACAGGCTCCCCTCAGGGCTGTTTCCTGAGCCCCCTGCTGTTCACCCTGATGACACATGACTGTGTCCCCAGGTTCACCACCTATCACATTGTGAAGTTCACAGACGACAACACGGTGATGCAGCTCATCAGCGACGACAACAACCAGGACTTCAGAGAGGAGGTAGAGCAGCTGGGGGGCTGGTGTAGAGATAACAGCCTGATCCTGAAGATGGAAGTACCAGCCTAAAACCACTCCACAGCTCATCAACAACTCACCTGTCCAGGTGGTCAGCAGCAACACATTTCTGGGGGTGCACATCGCAGACAACCACACCTGGGCTGTAAATACCACCTAAATAGTCAAAAGGGCACAGGAGTGCTTGTACTTTCTGCAGAGGATGAGGAGAGCCCAACTGCCCCCACCCATCCTCACGACCTTCTACAGAAGTACCATAGAGAGCATCCTGATCAGCTGTCTCACTGTGTGGTGTGGAGGCTGCAGCATCTCAGAGTGTGTTTTGTGATTTTTTTTGGGGGGTAAAAAATACATTTTTCGGCCAGAGTTAGGCACCAGCCCTACCACAACATTGATGGAATAAGCAGAATATATACATAGATACAGAGGATCATTCCTGCCCACAGCTATAAACACCTATGACAACTCGATAAAACATAAAATCAAAAACCCTATGAGTTACTACAAAACTTAATTTGTCTTTGGTATTAATAAAGTAGTTTGAGCCTTAGTTTTAATACACATTTTCCACTGTAAATGTCTGTGGCTCAGTTTTCAACACTGTAGTTAAAAATTTGCGGTAGTGTCGAAATTAGGATCAGAGATGAGTTTTGAAAGGCAATACATCAGTTCTTGCATTCCCAGATGGGATGGGTCCCTTAGAGGTTCGGCTACTCTAGTAATAGCAGAACTAAGCTCACACACTTTAAAAGAGTTACAGTGTGGAATGATTGGAGAAAAATTACAAGTAGCATATTTATAATATATGTTTTTAAAGTGATGTTAGAGGTTCTTTCTTCATCAACAGGTAGGTTATTCCTTTCAATCTAAAGCAGAACATTTCTTTTTATTTTCTTAGAGAACTCAGACTCAGAAAAAGGTTTGAACAGCTAGCACCAACAACATCAGCCAAATCGCAGACGTACAGCAACTCTGAGATGCAGAAGTAATTATGAATGAAGCCTGCTTCATATTAGCTGAGCAAGGAAAGGAAAGATGGCTGTTCTCAGTATTGGTCCTGAAACCTATCCTGTCCCCCTGTGGTGTCGGAGGAAGCATGGAGAGGTCAGGGTAGAGGGTCAGCTAAACTGATCTGTATGATTAACTTCTTCTTCTTTTCCCTCAGGATTTTCTCAATCTGTAACATAGCCGCTTTCCTTTCCTTTTCCTTTCCTTTGTCAGATACCTGCTCAGCTTCACCATCCAAACCTCATCCCTCTCTGACCCTGCAGCTCCTGGGGATGTGAACCTTGATGGGGAGGATGCAGGGGCAGAGGGCAGGTCAACTTCGTGCACGTCTTTTGATCATGCTTAAATGCTGCTGACATGAGAGATAGCTACAGGTTTGCTTATAATTTAAGTACATGTACAGCCAATATGGTGAAGTAGTTTACAGATTAATATAAGTGAAACAAACATATAATAATATAAAAATATATGGTTTTCCCTTTTGACAATATATATATATATATATATATATATATATATATATATATATATATATATATATACACTATATTGCCAAAAGTATTTGCTCACCTGCCTTGACTCACATATGAGCTTAAGTGACATCCCGTTCCTAATCCATAGGGTTCAATATGACGTCGGTCCACCCTTTGCAGCTAGAACAGCTTCAACTCTTCTGGGAAGGCTGTCCACAAGGTTTAGGAGTGTGTTTATGGGAATTTTTGACCATTCTTCCAGAAGCGCATTTGTGAGGTCGCACACTGATGTTGGACGAGAAGGCCTGGCTCTCAGTCTCCGCTCTAATTCATCCCAAAGGTGTTCTATCGGGTTGAGGTCAGGACTCTGTGCAGGCCAGTCAAGTTCATCCACACCAGACTCTGTCATCCATGTCTTTATGGACCTTGCTTTGTGCACTGGTGCACAGTCATGTTGGAAGAGGAAGGGGCCAGCTCCAAACTGTTCCCACAAAGTTGGGAGCATGGAATTGTCCAAAATGTCTTGGTATGCTGAAGCATTCAGAGTTCCTTTCACTGGAACTAAGGGGCCAAGCCCAGCTCCTGAAAAACAACCCCACACCATAATCCCCCCTCCACCAAACTTTACACTTGGCACAATGCAGTCAGACAAGTACCGTTCTCCTGGCAACCGCCAAACCCAGACCCGTCCATCAGATTGCCAGATGGAGAAGCGCGATTCGTCACTCCAGAGAACGCGTCTCCACTGCTCTAGAGTCCAGTGGCGGCGTGCTTTACACCACCGCATCCGACGCTTTGCATTGCACTTGGTGATGTATGGCTTGGATGCAGCTGCTCAACCATGGAAACCCATTCCATGAAGCTCTCTGCGCACTGTTCTTGAGCTAATCTGAAGGCCACATGAAGTTTGGAGGTCTGTAGTGATTGACTCTGCAGAAAGTTGGCGACCTCTTCGCACTATGCGCGTCAGCATCCGCTGACCCCGCTCCGTCAGTTTACGTGGCCTACCACTTCGTGGCTGAGTTGCTGTCGTTCCCAAACACTTCCATTTTCTTATAATACAGCTGACAGTTGACTGTGGAATATTTAGGAGCGAGGAAATTTCACGACTGGATTTGTTGCACAGGTGGCATCCTATCACAGTTCCACGCTGGAATTCACTGAGCTCCTGAGAGCGACCCATTCTTTCACAAATGTTTGTAAAAACAGTCTGCATGCCTAGGTGCTTGAATTTATACACCTGTGGCCATGGAAGTGATTGGAACACCTGATTCCAATAATTTGGATGGGTGAGCAAATACTTTTGGCAATATAGTGTATATATATATATATATATATATAATTAAAAACTCATGTGTTCTTGAGAGGATTTACCCTGCAGGTTGGATCTCTGTTTCCCAAACAAAGTCAACAATGGATATTTATTAGTGTTTTTTTTTTTTTTGTCACAGCTGCCTATATATTTTATATTAAAAGAAAAACACACTTCCATTTCTCTCTCTCTCTCTCTCTCTCTCTTTTTCTTTTTTTTTTTTTTTTACAAAAACCAACATCAGGTCACAGAGGTATTTTCTATCTAATTTTTTGTCCAAATGATAACCAGTCAGGCTGCTGAAAAATCAATCCAGTCTGGTGATAGAAGCATCATTTCTTTTAGACTTGCAATGATTTGCCATCAAACAACTGCTCGGAAAGAAAGAAAAAAATCTTTTAAGGAGGAATCAATTTTTTTATTTGATTAAAACATTTCCTCCTTAGCTAATTATAGTGAATTAAAAGTTTTAAGAACCCACTGACTCTGATCTGCTAAAAGGTAAAATCTGCAAAAAGATGCAGAATAAAACATGATGCAGACCTTATGCCAAACTGTTCCCTGCTGAGAAATTCCTGACACAAAAGAACCCTCAAAAAACTAATTCCACAGTTTTTGGTTTTGCACTTTAGTTTCTGCATCGATTTTTTTCGGCCAAACTCCCAGCATGCTAAACGTGGATTCTCAGAGGTGCTACTGGGTGGATAGTGTTACCAAGACCTTAACTGTTCCCCGTGTTTTCAATCCAAAATCTGTTGGTAACTGGGTAAAACATCTGCTGCAAGAATGAAAAGGAAACAGCATCGACATTTACTTTTGGTGTAATAAACAAAACTTACAATGATTTAAAAATAACACTAAATCTGTAAGATTATAAAAGGCAAAACTAGCCAGCAGGTGTAATCTAGCCAGCAGGTTTAATGCTAAAAAGCATGATTCTTATATGCATGTAAGCTAAAAACTCCCACCATTTTGAATCCATTGAAGCATCAACAAAAAGTATAAACTTAAATGCCCTCATGAGTTCCATAAAAATCAAATAAAGTTTTGAGATGTTCACTTTGCTCCGTTATTTATTGCAGTATACTGTACAAGCCAAAACAAAGCAGCCCATGGGAATTGGTATCGCAAAGAAATAATCTCATCAGCACATCTGTAAAAATAGAGTTATTAACAAATTTGCTTCTGTTTATTTAGGCCCAGAGAGAGAAACAGAGAGAGGGAGGGATGAATAATAAAAGGATAGTCGTTGGAAAACTTATCTGTGAACATTTGTGATTATTTGGGTGCAGAAAGGAGCCAGCAGCTGTTTTTTATTTATTTTTTTTATTTTAGTGTTTCTTTTGGTTTCTTCAAAGCTGCAATTTGGGCTAGATTCAGTGAGAGAGGCTTTAAAACTTGAGCCAGGCCTTCCAATACCAACCATTGAGAGCTACTATCCTGCAATATTTAGATGCATCACTGCCTCAGCAGACATGAGGCAAATGGCTCAATGCAATCATCAACAGTCATTCAGCACCACTGATAATGGACACATTTCAGTCAGGAATGTTGGAGAAGACATGCATATAAAATTTGCAGGATTCTAACTAGAGGACTGGAGTAGAGCACACCTAACCACAATTAAACCAAGAATACAAGACAAAAACTCTCCATAGAATTTCAAACCAAATCTTATGCCACTGCAAAAGAAATCTTATGCTCTTTGACAGAGACAAGTTTTATTGTATTTTTTTTGTATACACAAAGGGTATACAAAACAAAATTTTGGTTAGCGCAGCTTTTCAGACAGTAAATGAACATTTTCATTCCTTAAAGTGCTGCAGTGGTCAAATGTAAACATTGCGGGAGAAAGAATCATGGTGCATTAATTGTACTGAAACTAGTTGACAAATTTTGTGATCCCCTATAACTGAGCATGACACAGATTGTTTATTTGTGTGACTAATACTTAAAATAACGTCTTACTGTCATGGCCAGGAGTTTGCCATAGGTAAGGTGTGCAGGAATGTGGTCCGGCTTGGCTCTCAGAGACTCTCTGTACCAGTGTTCAGCTTCAGACAGCTTATTCAGGCGCATGTAGGCTTCTCCTGTCAGAGCAAAGACAGATCAGAAGGTTCTAAGTCAGAGGGACAGTCCCAAAATTATGGTACATTTTTTTTTAAACCTTTTTTTTTTTTAAATAATTCATATATGAATAATATGGCTCCGATAATTTAGTCTTTTGTATCAGGCTGATAATTACTTAATTTTATTACAGTATCTCAAATGCAGTTTGCAAGAAACTGAGATTTATAATGGATTAAAAGTTGTTTTCTCAAAGAAAAAATCTCAGTGTTTCCATTCTTTCATTTCTTTCTTCTTTCCATCTCCATATATCTAACATGGAAGTTTTGAAACTTAAAACAGGGCCTTACACCCCAAAATGAATTTAATTAAGGAGCATGCAGTTATTCCAGTACATAATTATTTAACTAAGTGTTTAAACGGTAATTATTATCTTGATATTGTTACTTGCAGCCAATTCAAGGGTTTTAATCTGTGACCCCTTGTTTTAAAGATAGGTTTCAAAGTAGTCACCATCTTGGCTCCCTGGTGGCGGTTCTGTGTCTGAGATAAGCACAAAAACTAACATGCAATTAAAAGTGACACTGAGTCCAAAGAGCTGAAAGCCAGTTTCACAGCAAGAAACATTCCTGAGGCCACCAGAGAGTGTTGGAGTGAGACCAGCAGGGTGCAGATTACCACCCAGGTCCGCCTCTGATGAGCGCTTCTGCTTGTTGGCGTCTGACAAACAGCATGAGACGAGCAAAGTGAGGGAAACTGGAAACAGATATGAGCCCGACAGCCAAATGTGCAAATCAGTCCAGTAAGGGAGCGCCGCTAAGGAGCAGAAATCACAAATCTTTGGCCCAATGCCTTCATTTGAAACGCAGCGTCGCCCCTTAATGGTGCCGGGAGCTTTAATCAACATTTTGACATAATCTCAAAAGCTCTGTCACATTGTATTCTGCCAACACACACACAAGCCTTACGGCACTACAGAGCGTGGAAGACAGGCATCCCAGGTTTCTACTGTTTGTGTGTAAATGTGAAAAGGAAAATGTCTGAAAGGAAGATAAAGAACTGATATAATGAAGCTCAGAACATCTGGTGCACAGCTGTAGTTGAACAACCTGAGCTGTTCTGAAGCGCAGATCAAATCAGTTTAACATTTTAAACAAATCCAATTACTGCCCGAGTAAAACAAGGTTTTCTGTCAGATCACCCATTGTCCCAGCTTCATTGGAAATCTTTCACATCTTTTACTTCTGTCAATACAGAGAACATACATACATGGTTGTCCACAGTGAAAATAACCAAGCTAGCCACCAATTCTGTAACTTTATGAGGGTTTCATAACTGTATGTATGCATGGGAGTCTGATCAGGGTCAGGATCAGAAGCACTTTGTTGCTGTAAAAAAACAAAAAACAAAAAAAAAAACTTTAAAGTAATGCTGCGTTCACACCGGGGGCAGCTGGCGCGACAGAAGCAGCGAGTTTACATGCAAAGTCAATGGTTGACGCGCGTCAAGGCGCAGCAAAAAGTCCCGCGGCGCGTTTCGAGCAGCTGAAGCAGCGCGTCGGGCGCGTTTTGGCATCTGACGCGCGTGACGCGCCGCAAACGCGTTGCTGCTCGAGATGGAAAAATTTAATTTTTGCTGCTCGACGCGCTGCGTCAACCAATCAGAGAAGCTGATCTGGGAGCTGGCTGGGAGAGAGACACAGCGCTGATGACACAGACCTCTCTGATTACTCCTCTTAAACAGTTTATTAACGCATAATTAACTTAAAATATATACATCTGCCGGCAGAATATGTTCGCTTTTATTATTCTGGTGCCTGCAGATCGGATTATTTAGATGAAAAACACCTACCAGCCACCGCGGTAAACCGCGAGGAGGCGACCCAGCCAGAGGCTGCTGATGAATGGATTCCTTCTGTCGGCGCACCGCTGGTATGTGGGGGTCTGAGCGGCTCCAACAGAAATAACATTGGGAGGCAGGATTGTAATCTGGATGAACTGACTGCACTGAGGAAGTTTTCAGGTGTATTTTCTCACTTAAAAACATATTAAAACTACTCTATTCCCACTGATCACAGCAAATATAGCTGCAAGGCAGAGAAAGGATAGTGAAGCTCCGCCCAACGCGCGTCAGACACACTTTTGGACCGCGCAGCGAGAGCAGCAAAGCTGCTTCAGACGCGCGTCAGAATTCACTGGTACAAGCAGCAAAAATTAAGCAGCAGACGCGATTTTGCTGCTTTTGCTGCCCCCGGTGTGAACGCAGCATAATAGGAAATTAGTCTACTAAACGGTGATAAAAGCTGATTAAAGCATAAGCAAATAAATAAAATAACTTGAAATACATTTGATGAGCTAAATAACCTTATGAAAAAGCTTTAAAGAAATCTTTTATCAAAGGTACCCATTTGCATACATTTCCTCCACATTTGGTTTGTACACATCTTAAATTGACCTACTGGAACCAGTTGTTTTGTGTTTCTTAATCTTAATACATCTCCAGATAGTTTGCTGTACTTTTGGACTATTCATCCTGACAGATCTGCTGTAACTGGGTCAGGTTTGAAGACATAGCTTCAATAATTCATCACAATGTGATTTTCTCATGATGCCATCTATTTTCCGAAGCACACCGGTCCCTCCTTTAGCAAAACCTTCTGCAGACTCTGCAAACTGCAGTAGGGAAAGTCTTCTCAATATTAAAATCTTCTTCCTTTTTCCCTAAATGTAGCAATAATCATTAAGGCCAATCTTCATCAGAACCATTAATTATGAATTTTCTTTACAAGCTCTGTAGCTTTAGTTTTGGAGTAGATTCATACCTTTTCCTTTTTTATCTGCATGTATGTATGTTAAAAAAAAGCCATTATTTTTCTGATGTTCAGTATAAAATGTGTTCTAAGCAACATTGATGTTAGCTTTTATTCTCATGATTCTAAAATAAAAGCATCACTCACCCAACATGTTGTAAAGGCTCTGCGGTGCAAATTGTCTTGGCATTTTCTGTATTGCTTCTTTAAACGTTGAGATAGCCTCCTGTGAATGAAACAAAGAAAGGAGAAAAAAAAGGTGGGGGGGTGTTTGTGTGAGGAATAAAAAGCAGATAGAGCCTCCAAGATAAATCTGGCTTTAGGCAAAGAAGCTGTTGCTCCGACGCAGCCGGGGCCCTGATGATCTCAATACACAGCGTGGAATTGGGGGTCTCTGGTTGGGTGGTTCATACATAGCTAAGCACAAAGGGTCTATACTCTGTTTCACGGCTGTTAGGACAACTAGAACACTTTGCGCTATAGACTGTTACAGTGTGCATGTCAAGCAATTGACCTCAGAGAATTCTAGAGTAGAAATGGAACCGGGAACCTAAAAATGCTTTTACTGCTTAACTAAATGTGGCTAGAGGCCAGAAGCTCAAGACTGGTTTAGGTCTCAATCATCCCAACGGCTTCTAAAGTTTTTTATTGAATCAGCAAGATCTATAACTGCAGTTTTGATCAAATCTACAGCATCACTGCTTATACACATATAGATGCGCAACATTAGAGAAATAACTATTTTAGATGGTCCAGTGGGTTTTTAGGGGGATAAAATAGATTGAATTTAATAGTAATAGCCTGAGGATTATCTTTGCAGACATGTAGCTAGAGTCCCCTATGACAGAAACAATAAAAAAAACATGTCTGTGTGTAAAGCTGAGTGTTTTACTACATGTCCCCTAAAGGCTCTTTGCGCAGCTCCTTGCCTTTTGTTTCAGTCTGCTGTAGTTTTAAATTGTCCTTTATGTAGGAAATGAAAAGGACTCCTTCAGCTCCCACAGCAGCAGGCGGCCGATTTATCAGACAAACAGCCCTCCTTCTGTGTCTTCATATTTGCAAACTACTAAAGAAAGATAAATCTACACAGGCATATTTAGTATGATTGAAGGATTTAACAGATATTATAAGGGAGTAGATGTTAAAAGAAAAAAAGGACTAAATCTCAAAAGAATACTAGTTAAGAGTTTTTGTAAGGATATGAGATTACTAAGAATGTAAGCAGGTTTGCTCTGTCACCTCCTGATGTCCCTGCTCATGCAGCAGCTTGCCCAGGTTGTAAAGGCAGCTGGTGACCGAACTCTTGTGGGCATGGGGGTCCTTCAAGTTCTCATCAGGGATGTCGGCGCAGGTGAGGAAGGTCCGTTTTGCCTCGTCCAGGAGACCCTGGTTCATCAGAATGATGCCTGTGTTCAGGTAGGCCGCTGGTGAAGAAAGAAGCAGAGCAACTTAATATGATAGCTGAACCCCCTTTATTATAAACTGACTAAATATAAATCTCAATGCAACCAACTAAATTGATTCCCCTGAGCTAGCTGCATTTGAAATTGACCTGCATGTTTTTATGCCAGAGGCTCTGAGATGATACGCGTGGAATGTTGTTGGATAAATGGCTCGATCTAGTAACACTCTGCTCTACAGGGGCTCAGTGATGGCTTATTATTGATTTCTAACAATCATACAGTATCCCTCTATTGTAAATCCATTCTTGTGGTCACCAGCATCATCATTTTCTCAATTCAGGATTAGTTTTACTTCTCCACCTGACATGGCAGCTCAAACCTGCTTACAAGTTACAATGTAATCCTAAACTAAAATATTTTTTTCCTTTTCAAGCTGGAAATGATAATAAAGTAATAAGGTAATAAGTAATAAGGTTGTGAAGATTTTCAACAGAGCATCAAAATATGTCATCTTTCCTCTGGACAATGGTAGTCTCTGCTTTTTGTATTAAACCAGTATGTCTTAAATGTGCCCATGCTTCCTATTTAAAGTAATAGTTCATTATAAAAATCATACAAAACATCCTCTTCTCAGGATGCCTCATTTTGGAGTTATAAGTGTTTTTTACTTTTAAACAACACTTGTTGTTTAAGGGTATATAAAAAATAAGGGTATATAAAATCAAAACCAATAAAATTAACTAAGAAGACATCTTGAGTATTTCTGAATTTCATAATCTCTGATTAAATCTGAATAAAATTTAGAGTGACCATCTAACACATAATTTTAAGCAATCTGTGATCTTTGGAAGTTGTGTTCTTTTTGGAAAGCACATAAAAATTGAAAACCTTTAACACTTTTCGCTGCAAGAGGACCACATTTGAATTACATCATGATAAAGATTTCAATATATGAACCAATAAATCTTGAGTTAGATGATATTTAATATATGTAATAACTGGTTATTGGGCTTGTGAAAATAAAACTTTGAAGTTGTTTTCACCAAAATATGTTTCAAATCTCACCCGGTCTTGTGGTGGACTTAAAATCATGTTTCCTCTCTTCTTGTGAGCTGGTTATAAATGGATTTATATAACACTCCGATAAGGTGAGTAAACATTCAATCTTTTTTATCACTCTTTAAAACCGGATGAGGCGAACTGGAAGTTGTCCAAACTTTACAGCTTTTGTTTAAAGGCTTTTTGTTGAGTTATTCGGAGGCTCTTGGACTTAGCTTCCATTGATCAAAGATGAGATGTACCGATCAATACTTATCGGACAAGTTGTGTAATTAGTCTCAGTGGACCCTTCTCTTAAAAAGCCTGCTGGTTAGAATGAATAAACTGGATGCATTAGATCAATCTGCCAGGCTTCCAGATGGCAACAGCATAATGAAGTCAAAGAAAGTGGTTTGGGAGTTGAACAGTTTTCTCTCTTTTTATCTTTACTAAACATTTTCTTACGTCTATTCTATTTCTTTTTTTCCCAGCACATTCTCAGCCTGTTCCACTGGGTCCAACATGGACGGGTCAGTGAGAAGTTTCTTTTGTTAAAAATGGCAAAGAAGCTAAACATGGAAACACATTAAGTTAAAAGTCTTTTTTTTTTTTTATTATTTCTAAACCCTGCTATGGCTGCTGTGAAACAAATGAATGATTCTTTATCAGAGAAAAAGGTGCAGACTGATAAAAAAACCAACAATGTGTCCTAGTTTGTTCACAATTAGGCAGTGAGTAATGGTGTAACCTTGAAAAGAACAATTCAACTGTCACATTAACATTCTGCGTTCAAAATGTCAACTACTTCAGGTAATTAATTAACCCTCTTATCGGCATCAACAGATTGGATAATTGCATGGTGAATTAGAATTTCCCACTTTAATTGCAAGCTTGATTAACTGTTCAATCAATCCAGCGGAGAAAGGATGAGATGTTTAGGATAATCTGTTTTTCTGACTCATACTGAATCCTGGAACCGCAGGGAGGCTAATTTGACTGCTGGTGATCAGGTAAGATTATGAACATTTTGTAGAAATTACAAAGGCAGAAGTTTATTTGTTATTGATAAATATGTGTGTAGAGAAAAAGCAAAAAAATAAAAAAATAAAATACAAAAAAAAAAACAGGAGAGAAGAAGGAATAAAAATACAGAAGAACGACGGCCTGAATTCTTTGTAAATGACATCATGCATTTGCTTGATCTGTTGACACAACAGGGCTTTAAAAGCCAGTCACACATCTGTGCTCGAATGTTTAATTCAGCCGTAGACCCGCTGCCCTATGCGATCCATTACTTTCCTTTTACATAACCACAGCCTTTGTTCACTGTTGCCTGGACACAGCACAGCCACAACCACGAGGTCTGGAGGTTGTCAATAAAAAGACAAGAGCTGTACTTACAAGCCAACGTTGGACGGCTCCCAATGGCCAGCTTATAGTAGTGGAGAGCCTCTGAGAACTTGTTGCTTTCCTGCAGCAGCAAACCTCTGGACCAGGGAAAAACAAAAGAGGAAAGAGAAACGAGACATTTTAGAGTGTAAGTTACAGGTATTTAGAGCTGAAAGTCTATTTAAAGATGACATTTTATAAAAAGCGGCTAAGATTGCAAAGCAATCTGGGTGCTGTTTGAAAACTGGTTGATGCTCCTTCATTTCTCCTTAGACTAAAGCAGCATCATTAATAATGCTGTCAAGAAAACAACACTTTGGGGAATAGAAGACAAGAGGGCAGTTCCTCTGAGAGAACAGCTGTGATCAATGCGAGTGTAAAAGGAGACAGTCTCCACTTCCTCAGACACTTTACTAAAACACTAAGACAGCGGAAAACTGATGTCCAGTAAAAACAAACCAAAACACGGTTCAAAAATGCATACTCACAAGTTATACAGCATGTCGGCCATGTTGCTACGATAATACAGAGCATTCCTGTAAGCCTGCTCAGCCTCATCCATCTTCCCCTGGCTCTTCAAAACATTTCCAAGGTTGCCCCAAGCTGAAAGGTTCCAGAGGAGAAAAATAAGTATATAAAAATTTGATTTCTTTTTTGTTTGTTTTTGTTTTATTTGGAAAAAAAACCCCTCAGACTAATAAAAGGAATGAAAATGTTAATAAGGTTTGTCAAACTGTTTATAAGTCATCTCAGGTTTAATGTTTTAACTTAAAAAAAGATGCAGCTCTGCTGCAGCTGGTTCTCTCCCACACCAAATTCGATCCTGTGGAGTGCTACATGTTAAAAGTAGTGTTTTCCAATGACTGCGGTTGAAAAGAAGACCACTACAGTGGCATTGAGCTGGTATTTACCAGCATGGAAAAGTAACCAACAGGTGATACAAGCTTTTTTTCTCCATGGCATAGAGTGGAAAAGCACTTAGTGATGAATAATAAGTGTAAAATAAAAGTCAATGAATGCATCATGGCGCTGCTTTAGTTATTGTAGTCGTGAATCTACATGTACATTATGTCAACACTAATTTCATATTGAAATGAAAGCTAAAATAGGTACAGACATTGATAATGGTTATCAGTTATCAGTGTACTGTCTGGGATTTTTTCGTCTGTATTATTTGTGACCATTTTGTTTTTAAATTTAGTTTAAATATATATTTTTTGTTGGAAAAAACAACAAGGTTTTCTTCTTTAATTGACGTTAACAGTGAGGAAGGCTGCTACTGCTCCCTTTATGTATTTGTCATTAACACACGGCTCTTCAACTATCCTAGGAGAAAGCAGCTGAAATACCATTCAATAAATGTTACAACACCAAAGACAAAGTTCTGTGTTTAGAAAGGAAATTTCTATGAAGGTTTCGTCTGCACATGGTTCTTTTTAACTGCACAGAAATATATTAAAAGCAAATTTATTGACACGTCCTCTTAAAATAAAAAAGAAACAAGCCAATGTTGGCATAGGCTACCAGCAAAAAGTTATGCATGAAAAGATTCTCCCACGAAAGATTATTTATGTGTCATGTATCATTAGAAAGACTTAAATAAGGTGACGTGTGATCAAAAGAGTACAATTTTCTGATCCTACAGCAGGTGTTCCTGTAAATAAAAACCTTAAAAGGGATAATTATATCATAAGGGAGTCACTGGTGTTTGATTTAACTCCTGAACAATCACAATGTCAATGTGGAGAATATATAGCATTTTTATCAACCAATCAGTAGCCATCATGGACGATGATCCAGTTGGCTGAGTATTAATATGCAGAATTTCAATGCATTTCCATCGCATTGGTCATTTCTTTTTTCAAATATTGATACAGATGATTGTGATTTAATATCAATTTAAATGCTGTGCAGCAGAAGCTAGAAGGATCCTCAGGAATTCTATTAAAAGGGAAGATAAAATAATCAAAAGCAGACGATTTTCTTAAAAAAATATAAAATAAGAAAAGTTATAATATATTGAATCTCAGTTATCATCACAGAATCATTTCAGGAGATATAAATATCACAAAGGATTGCCTTGATAAAATATTTATTGGGACATATTTCCAATCCCATGCTTGTAAATCCTGCATGCCACAGATATATTTGGCCTGCTGGATACACTGTTAATGCACTTAGTGCCCACATCTGATGCATATTTTAATACTACAGATGCTAACGCCCCCAAAGAGTGCTGGAGACAACATGAAGAAAAAAACAAAGAAAAGAGTCACTTAAACATGGGTTATTGGAAATTATTATTTAGTTTTCCAGATATCATGCAGCCCTATTTTAATTGAACGTTTTAGGAAACTATTGAGCAATTAATGTAAATAAATTAAATTTTTAAAAACAATTTGAGCCTCCATTATTTAACTGCAAATCTAGATTAATCTGGTTCCCTAGCAGCTTTTATCACTTTTTCTATTTGAAAAGGTTCTGTGGATTTCAGTAACCCAAACAGTTTGTGTGTTTCGGATGTTGGGCTCTTTTCAAATCTCATATTAGCTTTGTTGAATGTAAGGCGGGACATTGCTGCTACCGTGCTGGCCTGCCAAAGCAAACAGCTGTCATGCCTCAGCTCCGCTGGAGAATCTGAAAGGGAAATTAGCAAACTCAACGTGTCCTTCTGTTGCTTTGTGAGGCCCATGCCCGATTTCTCTGCTCAGCAACTCAGCAAACTTAGCTTTGAGTTCAAATCTGTCTCTGATTAGTTTGACTGCCTTTGAATATTTTAGCGCAGGCTGAAAGTGACAAACAGGGACGGCAGACTGAGATGGAAATCTGAGCAAGGAAAAGGCATGTGATTTCTGAAAGCATTCGCAGTAAGAATATATGTCATCAAGACCTCTGTGTTGAAGAGATCCATTTACATTTGCAGTTTATTCTACCTTTACTCCCGGTGCACAAAGATACCAGACTACACTGTGGTGATCCTGAGTGATGGAGACATGTTGAAGCCAATTCACTTTAAATTTTTTAGTAGTGCTGAAAATTGATAGAGACCGTGCACAGTAACACATTCAAAGCCTAAGGACTTACTGAAGTTATTCAAGCAATAAAACAATGTGGTGGGTGTGCATAGATTTCTGTAAAACTCTTTATGTTCGTAGATCTAAGCAATGATATAAAATAGAGTCCAAGCATACCGGTCAGTATAGACTTACCTTTAGCAGGGTTGACATAAATCCCCGACTTGTAGAGCATCTCCTCATTCTGCCAGTCTTTATTCCTCAGAACAGTTTTCACCCCAAACAGAACCACCAACACTCCACTGCAGAGGAGCAAGGCTCTCCTGGAGGACCTGCATCGGACTTGGATGCACAGGGACCTCAGCCCCACAGCAACCAGCAAGCAAAAGCCCATGCTGGGGATGTACAGTACTCTCTCTGCTATCACAAATCCAACATAAAAAAACAAGTTTGTTGCAGGTAAAAAAGGGATAGCTAAGAGGCCCAAGGAGAAAGCCACAACATTTTCACTGGTCGGCAGTGTAGTCCTGCTTTCATAGTGGCTTTTGGAACCATTCTGTGCACTAATATTATTAGTCTCTTTAATGGAGTAACTGGTGTGTTCGTGGTTGTTACACTGGTAACTGTGTCCGTTACTGCTCCCATTTCTGCCATTAATATAATTGTGACTTTTTCCATTGGTTTCCTTGGTCTTGGAAGTTGAGTGTGTCCATAAGCCAAACCAAGCCAGCAAAAGCAGACCAATGTAGAAAATAAATGAATAGATGTTCCTCAAGTCCGTAAGGCTCCTGATCAGAGGCAAAGCATCCATCGACCAATCAAAACTAAGCCTGTCTGGGCAAAGGAGCAGCCAAAAGTTGATGGCAGGTAGATAGAAAAAGGTTAGAGTCCTGGTGAGGAGTGATGGCGAGTCAGCTGCCGGGTTGTCCGAGTTAGAGAAGTTTGGGGGCTTGTTGCCCATCCAGGAGAAGCGGCATGCCAATAAGACAACCCCCCACGCTGCCAACAAAAGCACATTCACCAGGAGGTTGCTGTTCTTCCTCTGTAAGACAAAAATTAGATATCAGGATCAAACATTTAATCTACCTATGAACAAGAACAACTACACGACATCATGTAAGCAGGTTTCCTAGAAATTTTAAAGCAATACATTACTTTTATTCACACCTATACATGTCTTGCCTTTATCGTTTGCTGAAGACAATATGGGTTATTGCCTAGGACACAGTTCTGAACTGAAATAAATTTCCAAAAGGTACTCCCAGAGCCACTTTTCTATTGCCCCTTTTTATTTTCAGTTATAGAGAAACATGATAATAATTGACTACAGATTTTCTACAGTATTCTGGATTCTGGGACCCATTTCCATTGTGGAACAATAAAGGGAGTTTCTATTCTATTCTATTCACAAAGTGAAAGATGACATTCTTGTAGATGTATGGGCTGCTTCTTTGTATTAAGAGCAGAATAGTTACAATGAATCAATACACCAGCAGATATTTTTTTTACACAAATATATTTTCCTTTTGCTGTCATGGTCTCTGCAGACATAACAAAACAAACAGACCTCAATGAGCTCTATGTATCAAAACACAGAGTTGATATTCAACACTTTCCCAAATGTGTGGAAATACTGACGGAATTTTTACAGTGTGCCTGGTAGTTTAATAACTTGTTGGCAAAATGCAGAAAAATAACCAAATATATTTCTCCAAAAGCGTGTTCCAATGTTGGCCTGCTGCAGGTTAATAATTAAATTGTAAAAGAAATCCCCTACATATTCTTTTATATTTAATCATTCATTATATTTATATACAAGTATTCTAAATTTGGGCATACTGGCAAATGGCACAATGGTTTTGGCCCAGAGGGTGTGATGGTTTTTGACCCCATGTGCCAAGAGGCTCAGCCAGTTTCCTCTCTGATCATAAACATCACAGCAGTACAGCTTTGGGGCTGTACTATTGATTGCCTTGTCATTTACAAATGGTGTCTGTAAAGAGGGGCATCATTAACCTTTGAAGGCAGCTTCTGTCTGTTAATGAGGGCTGCCAACTCTGGGATCTGATGCCTGGAAGGAAGTTTTAGAGAAAACGTCATGACAACAGCATGAACAAGCAGCGTATTTCAGCAGCTTCTGTAGCAGAAAATGCCAAAAATTGATTGTGTACTCCATAGTAAAGTTATTGTTTCACAGTATCCATAACAATTTGTGGAAAATACCACAAGCCTAGCATAGAAGAGAGGTCATGTCTGTCTGAACGTGACATGACCCTCAGTGATCCAGCTTTTCAGGAAGATCATGAGATGGATGAGGGAGCTGTTCAGTTGCTTAGCAACAACAGGTCATGATTTCAGTCCAGATAAGTAGGCCTACTTCTCATTGATTTCAGCAACAGTGGGTAATATTATTCTCAGCTCCCAACTTAAAAGAAAATGCTTAAAATAAAATAAATAAATAAAAAAAAATGTTTCCCTGAAAACACCAGATCTAAATAAAATATTTAGAATGTTCCAAAACACTTATCTGCCAGTCAAAGTCACAAAGTCTCAAACAGAAGGGGAATGCACTGTATATACTTCATGCATCTTTTCCTCCTTTGTGCATCTTCTGTTTGTTTATAAAAAGAAATGCCACAAGTGAATTTCTCCATAGTAAGACCAATACATTTCTATTCTATAAAAGCTAATCCATCATTTATTTTAAACTGGGGGACGGAGAAATCAAAATGTATGTCCCTCATTGCCCTGCATGTCTTAAAATAAACACACACCAACCCAATCTATGTAATTCTTTCTCATAAATTTATTTCATATAAAGCTACTGGCTAAAAGAGTTGTCTTAGTCCTATTGTTCATTTTATACATTTAGAAAAAAAAAATCAACCAAAGGGGGTTTTCTAATTCTGTTTATAATCTCTTTAATTATCATTAAACAGATAGGAAGATAAGACAGCTGGATATTTATTTAACCTTCACAGTTCACAGGTCAGTAATATGAACTCCAAGTAAAGCTGGTGCTGGTTTGGATGTTTATTTAACAGAGCTTGTGTCATGTTGAAAAAAATGTTTTTTTAAAGAAACCAATCAAATGCTTCTTGCCAAATAATTTCTATTTAGCTGTACTCCACTTTTTTTTTTAAAGCTATGTAGCCATGCTAAAAGGCCAGTAAGACCAGAGGACTGTTTTCTTTATCATATGAGTTCTCTAGCTTTATTTACATGTGCAAAACTCAAGAGTCTATTGGATTGTAATAAAAGGTAAATAAATAAAGTATATACACTATTTATTTGAGCTCAAAATTAAATAATCTGATTGTGATGTGTTTATTGACATCAGAGTGTATTCGGAACAGAAGCAGTCTGTCATGCACAGGGTTGCCATACTTCCCAAAAACAACAGCAAAAGAGCGGTAGATCTGCTAGTGTGGGGTGGAAAAAAAATCAAAAATCAAATGGGTACCAAGAATGGACTTGATGCAGGTTTTGAGAGTGGTTGAGGGATTTTTTTCCTCTCATAATTAAACTTCAGTCTCAGCAAATTGTAAACAGTTACATGCTCTTCTTGCTTTACAGGTTGGAGGAGGAAATGAAAATCAGTTCTGGCTTTATGCTGCTGGGGGCTGCTGCCTCATCCTCCTCATACATGTGTTGTCAGGTCAGTTTGTCTAATCTGTATGTAGGGAATCTTGGGTTGACAAAAACCATCCCCCTCAATCCAAATATAATTCTGTTTTGGCTGAGCTCAATTTAATGCCAGTATCTCTACTGCAGTTATTATATTAAGGATTGTTATTTCAATTGACCCTTTACTCTGCATGTTTATGTATGCCTATTGAAACATACTACTTGTTAAGAGTGCCTTGAGGTTGTGAGAGCCTGGGGGACTCTTAAAGACCTTAATTCTTCGAACAGAAAAACAGAGGTCTTACTTTTAATTTCAGGGTCTCCAAAGGGTCATCCCCTGCAGACCTCAGGGTTCCTACCTTAAACCCTCTGCCATTTACTTTGGGAGTGTAAATGGACAATGATTTTAATCCTAACTGGCAGGTCGGTATAGAGGATAAATGTAGTTAAAATGAACTGAGACAACTAGCTAAAGTAAAGAATGGTTTTCTAAAACAGGATGTTGTAAAAAGTACTGTAATATTGTTCTTCTTTCATCTGCTGTAAAACAAATAGGAAAATAACATCATACCTATAATCAAACACAATGGTGGTAGAGTGATGATCTGGAGCTGCTCTACTTCTTCAGAGCAGGAACAATTTCACATAATGATTCTTAATGTTGCTGCTAAAAGGTTTTATTACAGTAGGTGATGCAAATAATTACTTATTAGCATAAGGCCATGTCAATTTATGTTACTTTTTAAAATGCTGTTAACATTTATGTAGAATTATCAGATGTGAAAAGAAATGTTGTGTTTATACAGATTGAATCAGTGTGATACTAACATTTATTTCATGAGCTAAGATATTAAAGATGTAACAAAAAGAAAAACTAGAAAAAAAGAATAGTAAAAAGGGAATATTTTTTCAGACCTGTATTTATGTTTACTTTTCGCGATTTATGAGTCTGCTTAGAAATTTATTGTTGACTAAAAATGTACCTCCCAGCAAAAAAAAATGTAAATGTTTTAAAGCCAAACAAAATTGTGTTTTAGTAAAGTCGTTTGATAACAACAAAGTACAGCTGTGAGCTTTGAGCACTTTGAGCAGAGATCGCTTATTACACTATTACACACTATTATACTTTAAGGCATGATTTAAGGAAATTCTGTTAGAATTTCCATGGATTGATGAGGGTTTTTACCTGGATTCAGGACCCTAACTATTGTGCACCATGAACCTCACTGTTTTTGGACTAATTTATGCCATCTTTATAATTCTGTAAATCTGTTTAGTTTCTGCAGTGACGAAAACCACAAGAAAAGCCATGACTGAGTGTTTGTGTTTTGAGCGTGTTTGTGTTTGCATGTTTGGGATCCTGACAGAGTTGCCATCAGTAATCTCCTGGAACCACTCCCAAGCATACTCCCTCATACCTGGCTTGGTGACAAACAGATATGTCATCCTGACTGTTCGCAGGCTAAGCACACTCTCACGCGCAAGCATCTTAACTGCATACAGCACATATGTCAGTAATAAGGGCTGAGGGAACATTTCATTTAAAATGATCAAGCTGCATTTGGACATTTCCTTTTTTTTTCAATAAAAAATAAATCTTTCAGCAGCAGTGAAAACATAAAGTCATCCTTATATTGCACTTCAGTCCATAGTTTTTGCCTTAGCGCTGCTTTAGGTTTGCATCACCGAATGCACTGACTTGAAAAGTAAAATAAAAGGTGACAGAATAACAATAGTCTGCCAGCATTGTTCTAGACGTGTAATGAGGCACATACTACAGAGGCAGCACAACCCTGATGTGTTTTTTCTCATGAATAAGTAAATCTCGTGCATCATTCAGTTAAATTATCTAAACCAGCAAATAGCTTCCTAAGTGCTGGAGCCTTATTATGCAAGAAAACCCAGGCTGCCCAGTTTGGTGTCTTTTGTCAATAATCCAGTTAAGTCTGAAATAACTGGTTTAGCACAACCCCAGGGGAGGAGACTAAAGAGAGTTTTTCATTCCCTTCCAGGACATTCAGTACAAAACTGATACAATTTAGGCTTTATTTGGCATGAGAATTAAATATCCTTGCAGATAAAATGCAAAACAGGCCAATTATGGAAACTTTTTGCGCCTATTCCCACCTTTCTTTAGCTGCTGTTGTTTTTTTTTTTCTTTTTTGTTTTTTTTAAAGCATCTTGTTCGTTCTGAGCAAAGGTTGCAGTAAGATAAAAAAGGAAAGAGCTCAGAGAGAAATGTAATTAGTTTGGAGAACATTTTAGGAAGGTGTAGATCTTATTTTTGCAATAACTGACTACTCTGTACCATAGCAGTGGTACTTTTCGAAAGCATTCATGGAACAATTCATCACACAACACATCTAACAAGCTAATCAAGGTGCAGGGACATGCTTGGCTTGCACACCAAAGGACACCTAAGGATGT